GTTCTGAGACAACAATTGTCGAACCCGTGAAGTCGTGTCCGTTCCGCTGCTCGAGCAAACCAAATATCGTATCCGTGCAGCAAAACAGTCCGCACTGTAGTTGGCACTGATACATGCGTCCCTCGAGATTCGCGGATATACCGGTTTGACGCCATAGGTGTCTCAAATTAGCAAAGGCGACCAGAGCCTTGGGGATTCGTGCTAGGCCTCATCTGTCACACTTCAGTCAGAAGTGATGCAGCTCCCAAGGTACGTGAAAGCCTTCACAAGTTCTAGTACCTCTCCATGGACTGTAAATGGCGAAATGATTTTTGTCAGTTCTTCCGAAAACACATGCATCTTCTTTTCTTCGAAGACGAGTACTATATCGTCTGCATATTTCAGATAGACAAAGTTTTCGTCACAAGCTATTTAAACTCCGCGGTTTTTGAAACCTTCCAGTGTTTGTCTCATGATTTCATTGATCACGGAGTTAAATAGGAATTAAGAGAGTGAACCCACTTGACGAACACCGCTTTGTGTACGGAAGCTTTTGGAGAGCTCTTTATTCTCTTATGCGTCCTGAGAATTGACATTACAAAGGGCGTTTTATTTTCACCAACGTCCGGGGCATTCCTCAAGGGGCAAGCATGTCAAGGTGAACAGGCGAGTCAACCGAGTCGAATGCGCCTTGAAAATCGAGGAATTAAAATTACGGATCATTGATACGTCTCGCATTGTTCTAGCACTTGACGAAGTGTGAAAATTTCGTTAAGGCAACCCCTACCAGGCCGGAACGCCGCTTGATGCTCGTGTGTCAATCTTTCACGAGCCACCATAAGGCGACGAAGCACACGTGACGCCAGCGGTCTCGCCGCAAACGGGGTCAGGCTGATCGCCCTGTGATTGCCACACTCACTATGAACTCTTTTTTTTAAAAAAAATGGGGCTATCACCGACTCCACCCAGTTCTCTGGAGCCGTCTCGTTTTCCTAGATACAGTCAAACAGAACATACAAGTGGTTTTGACCCCCGTTTATGAGCAATGCGGATGGAAGTTCATCCGGACCAGAAGCTTGGTGGTGCTTGAGAGAACATATGCAGTCACATACCTTCGAGGCCGCGCGGGGCTCTACATTCCTCACCTAGGGTTCTGCGAGGTGTTCTTCTTTATTCAGTATGCTTGATCTGTTCTGATCCTCGATACTTTCGCGCACAGGAGGCTTCCGGGGATCGGTCGCGAGGATCAAAATAATTTATCTTCAGACAATACCGGCTTTCTGGACCTCTTCCATTTCCTTGGCTCTCCGTATCCACTAGACTTCATGGTGGGCCCTCTAGCTAACTTTAACTTGACGTCTGATAAGTTGTCGCGTCAAGTTATGTTCGGGACAGGCTTGGATATTTCTCCGATATTTACGCAATGCCGGAAGATCCATGGTTCGAACCCCACTTTTTCTTACCGACTTTCCCTGTCTAGGCTTGAGCAACCTTACAATATCCCAGCCTCGTGCTCCCTTTTGGCGCCAAAAAGGTGTTACAGCTGAACAATTACTGTTATTATTATCATTATTATTATGTCCCGACCTAAAGCTGCCACCTTGACGTGATGGTCGGGCTTCAGTGCTGCAATGATCCCGCGGGCTACACTGGCTGGAACTTCGTTCCACAAGGTTCAACCATGCCAGGAAGGCCAAAGGGGAGCAGCCAGACCAAGAG